TGGGGCAGCCGCAGCCCCAACCACTCTCCCGCCCCATGGAAAATCTCCAAACGCCCCTCGGAGAATCCCCAACCCAGCACGTCCCGGCAAGCGCAGCTGAAAAGTGTCCCTGGAGTGGCGACCGTCCCCACCTGGGGGGCGACTTCCCCTGGGGAGGGGTCTGCGACCGCACCCGCGTTCCCAGGGGGCTCCCCGGGGTGCGCGGGGACCCCTGACCCCGAATTCCCGTGATTTCGAGGTTTTTCCACCTCGTTGGCGACCGAACCGGGGGTGGCGGCGACCACCACCACCCTCTCGGCGGCCACCCCGAGCAAACACGGCAGCTCCACCCCGCCGGGCCCCCCGTTTTCAACGCGAGCCCCCCAAACCAACGCTCCCGCCACCGCCGGAGCCCCCGAACCCCCCGAAACCGCGGTGGAGCCCCCTCGGCGGCGCCCCCCGATTGTGGGGAGCCCCCGGGGGGGTGCGGGCAGTGGGGTCCCCCCGCCGTGAACGCGCAGCAGCTCCTGGAGGTATTGGCGGCGGGTGCGCGCAGCCATCGCCCCCAAACGACCCCCCCGAGCCGCCGCGTTCTCGCCGTTGATGGCTTTGGCCAGCAGGAAGGGGCGCAGACCCGAGCCCCCCAAAAATCGCTGCCCCTCGGACAGAGGAGGGCCGAACGGGGGGGTTTCTTCCGGACGCACCACGGCCACGCTGAGAGAGGGGGGAAAAAGGAGGGGTTTAGGGATCCCAAAATCCGTGCGGGACCTTCAGAAAAGGGGTTTAGGGATCCCGAAATTCATGGGGAACATCCAGGAGAGGGGTTAGAGACCCCAAAATCCGTGTGGGACCTTCAGGAGAGGGGTTTAGGGACCCCAAAATTCATGGGGAACATCCAGGATTAGGATTTAGGGATCCCAAAATTCGTGGGGGACCCTTAGAAAACACGAGAGACCCAGGAGGGGAAGGAAAAGGGGGGTTAGAGACCCCAAAATCCGTGCGGGACCTTCAGAAGGGGATTTAGGGACCCCAAAACCACTGGGAGACCTTCAGAAAGGAGGAGAAGCCACCGGGATGGGGGAAAGGGGGGTTTAGAGACCCCAAAATTGGTGGGGGACCTCCAGGAGGGAGCTTTAGGGACCCCAAAATTCGTGGGGGACCCTTAGGAAACACGAGAGACCCAGGAGGGGAAGGAAAGGGGGGGTTTAGAGACCCCAAAACCCATGGGGACCTCCAGGAGGGCGGTTTAGAGACCCCAAAATTCGTGGGGGAGCCCCAGGAAGCACAAGAGAGCACCGGGGAGGGGGAAATGGGGGGTTTAGAGACCCCAAAACCCGTGGGACACCTCCAGAACCCCTCGAATGAGCCCCCCAACCCCTTTTT